TTAAACAGACTTAAACAGCCAATCATACGAAAGTCTTCCTATTGGGCTTCTACCCACATGACCCGTATTTTTTTATGGCCACCCTGGTTGATTGGTAATTTTACAATCCTGGTGATCGCATATTTCGCATATTTATATCAGATTCGTAAAAAATTTATCGCATAAGTCGCATATATCGAAATGAAAAGTAGACAGAATTTGGGCCCATCGCAGCAGTAAGTGACTAGCCTTAGTGCGTACGTACATTAAAAAACATGTGACAGTTAGTTACAACTAATACTAGCGATAGCCCAAATAACTGATTAAAAAATTGAGACTTGATCATTAATTGTACGATAATTTGAGTTTTATATACTATTACGGCTACTTTTATCTTTAAGAAATAAAAATCTACACTAATATTAAATCGATAATAAACACACAGCCTTTTGGGGGGGCATTCCTAGTGGCATATCATGAATTGGAGACCATTCCATATCCATATAACAGTATTATCTTTATAGACACAGCTAATATCAATCAATCAGAAAACACAATCATATAATATTTTATATGTTTTTGAAATATTAAATGAAATGATCACGGCTTATATGGCTATACCTATCTACTTAAAGTTGAAAGTTGTCAATTTAAGTTGAGTCGTCAGTACCCTAATTGAGAAAGTTATTAATTATTATTGCAAAAAATGATAACAGACAGAGTCTTTAGCAAAAAGTTTTTTATGTATTAAATGTATTTCAGTAGTCGCTTTTAAGTTTAATAAAGAACAGATTCAGACCCTAATGAACGGTTCAATTTACTGATAGTTTCATAGTTTACCTAGTTTACCACATTCTAACATTAGATATCTACTATATATAAAATATCTTGTATGTGTACAAAGTATAACAACTATGGATAAGTAAAAATATAATTGATCTTTTGATCAATTTTACAATTGATATAAAGCAATCATGCTAATAAATCATCTCTGATAATTAATCACCTATAAACATTTCCGAAAATTTCAGTGCATATATAATATTTTATTTTATAAACCGTGTCAAATCTCAAGCAAATTATCTTTCCGTAAGTTTGGAAAAAATTAACAGGATTCTTTATATGTAGATTCTGATAAATAAAAGGCAGATTTATTATTAAACTCATGAAGCAAAATCATAATCGATACTTTGACCTATTGTTCTCAAATTAATTAAAATATCAAAACCAATATCTGCTTTGACGAACTTTTGATTTTCTGGAAGTATAAGAACACACCATTGGATTGAATATTTCTGTTCAGAAACGAAATTCTCATCATCAAATTTTTCATCAATAGATCTATTAGTAAATTCTGGATCATATACATTGACCTCAATTTCTCTCTTTTTGTTATCATAACCTTGAAAAGTTGCTATGAAATTCGGCTCATAGTTCGACAGAGGGTATGTAAACGAAGTAAAAAGAGTCGAATAGTGTTTTAACCCATTTTGAACTTTTAGCATTACATTCCAACTATTAGTTGTGGGTGTAATCAAAGTGCTATCAAAACTGATTATGTCAATGTCTCGTGTATTTGTACTGAAGAATCCAACTTCAGCAGGTATTCCAATCAATATCCAATTTACTTGCAAACTCATGGATCTTATTTGGAATATAAATTATTAAGTATAAATTATTATTAAATAAATATGTTATTCTGAATAAAAAAATTATAAAAAATAATCACTCACTCAGATATTTCAAAATTTTCAATCTTTGCAGAAAATCCATATTTGTTAGTAGATTTGAACTTGATAACTGCTTCTGAGATTTGTTCTCCGTCATGTTTCACAAGTTTTCCAAAAATTTGATAGTTGTTGGATTTAAAATTAACAGGAAATTTTACACGATATTGATAAGCACAATGTTCTGTTGGAATTACCCCTGTAGTAAGCACTTTCTCTTTAACTCCAAAAATTTTTGCTATTTCATCGATTCCAAATATAGATTTAACATCTCTTTGAAGAGATTCATCAAATATTTCATACAGTGGATACAATTCTTTCCAATTTACAACTTGCGGTGAATCATAATTATCCTTTAAACAGTCTTTCATCCACATATCAAGTTCATTTCTCATAACTGTTGCTCCATCAACTGATATCAAATAAGTTGCATCAAAGTCATGAGGCCTTATATAACATTCCTATTTATTCAAAATATTGTCGCACATTTCAAAATCAATAACATCGAAGTCAATTTCTTGAACATATGATTTTGGTGAATCTTTCACAATTAACGAAGACATTCTATGTAACTTATACCCAATAATGATCCGTTTAGGCATGAAGTGACCATAGGTTTCAAATATTTTCATTAATTCATAATGAGGATTATGATTTTTCAAAGACTTTATTACAGCGGCATATAACTCTGAAGATGGCAACATTTGTTCTTTTTCAAAATTCAATTCAATTTGCGGGTACTGTAATTCTAGATAAACATCTCTAGTAAATGATTCATTTGACAGAAAATTTTTTGTTGAATTTGAAATACTGTAAACGTTAAGCAGCCAAATACGACTTTCATGACTAATGGTGAACGGATCAATGTGATTTTTTAATAAAAAAGAATATACTTGATTTGGAGAAAGCAATAGTTTTGCTTGAAACTTTTCAGCTTTTAATGCTTTAAAGATACATGGTGAAGCACTTGCGAGATTTATCCCTTGCAAGTCAATAACTAAGCCATGCTATAAATTTTGACTTTTTATTAAATTGTCTATTTCTTTCTTAGATGGAGTCTTCTGAGTTAGTTTATTTCTTAATTCATTTGTCTCTTTCTGCTTTTCTTGAAATAATTTAAAGTTATCAATTTTTTCAAGAACAATATCATGCATATTATCATCTGCCTTATCATACTGGTGGCTGATTATTTCATCAGATTTTATCTTAAGATGACTATCTATCTTCTGCCCTTTTGTCATATCAGTTTTTGGACACTTCTCGGGATCTTTAACATGTGCAGGCATATTCGGATTTTCATCTATTTCTTTCAAGATTTTTAATACCTCTTTAATACCTGGCCTTCCATTTGGGTCTTGATCCCAACATACTTTATAAAGTTCAACATACTTTGATGGCGTGCCTTCTACAGGCGTTTCTCTTAGTCTATTTGTAATAGTTATGGTTATAGAAATCGGATTCGTTATTGATTCAAATGGTACTTTTCCGCTAGAAATTTCCCAAAAAATAATGCCTAGACTATAAATATCAGACATTTTATTGATTTTGTACTTTTCTGAAATGAAAATTTGAGGATCCAAGTATGCTATTGTTCCAATCACGTTGTCATCATAAGGTGCCAATGCCTCATAGGAAGAAAGATTAAAGTCTGTTATCATAACTTGACCTCTATGAACCAAAATATCTTAATGCTATTTATTAAAATAAGTTTTGGTTTAAATTATCTATAAGCAATCCATTTACATCAATAGATTTATTAACTTACAAGTGATCGATGAATTATATCATTATCATGCAAACATTCAAGACCCTGAGCTATTTGTTTTGCTATGTGTATCTTATCTGCCCATTGTAAATTTGAAAGATTGACTCTTAAGTATCGGCGCAAGTCTCCATCCTCGGCAAATTGTAAGACTATACCGAAATTATTTTCTGGAGCTGAAAGAAATAAACAAAGATAATTTCACATGTTATATAATAATTGGGATCATATACTGTAAATGCTACCAAATGAAAACCGTGTTTTATAAGTATGAACTTAAACTTACATTGTACCAGACTTAGCTTTGAAGAATGTCACACATATATTACGTAAATTAATCACAGCTATGGACAAGATGTTGCTATGATTGCTATGATAAAAAATAATACTATCGAAATGATTAGAATACTGATTGTAACATGCTTCAATTACAAAATAATTCTGGTACAGTGAAAACCTAAATTCTTATTTGGCGGCACTCATATATTTTGAAGAATACTTTAAACGTGTTTGTATAAACACACACACCTTTGGTTATTCCGTAAAATTGGACGATGTTCGGATGCCAACAAATTTTCTGCAATATTTGAATCTGTGCATGAAAATCAAAGATTTAATTTATGAAAATAATAGATAATATTCAACATTCAATATTATTTTTTTTTAAAATACCTCTTTAATAACAAAATCAGCATAAGAATCGTCTGAAACATGACATTTAATTGCGACAGTTAAACCGTTTTTTTTTCAATTAAATCTATACACTGACGCAAAACCACCCTGACCAATACGTTCTAAATTATAAAATTCTGAACATTCAATAAAATTTATATATTGTTTTGAAATAGCATCTTCAAGCTTTTCTGTCGATGTGTTCTTTGACATTATCGTTATGCGACTAGATTAGAAATTGTTATATACACACACAGTTCATATATATTTTCACTGTAGCATGGCAGATTAGTCACACGTTAAAAATGTACCAATAAATTCAATAGAATCATTGTTTTCATAACCTTGTATACGTACATACGTTCGTTTATATTTCGCCTCTATGAGCCATGCAACAAATCTATCCAAAAATAATACTGAAATTAATTTCAGTATTAAAATAGTCACATCAAACAGCTTCGATTTAAAAGATGGATCTTTTGCATTTAATTTGCCTAGAGAAGTGACGCTTGAAGAAATTCGGGACAATCTCATGAGAAGAAAGGATGCACTTCATATGGGTTCAAATTGTTATTTTTTAGATAAAAATTATAATCGAATTTCTCCTAACGATGAGTCAAACACTAAATTATGTGAGATATTGAAACTCCTTAATAATGAAACTATTTTGTATATAATCCAAACAACAGAGTATGATTGGACTCAACTAATCATGAAATGTGAATATGGGTTTACATTTGACGAAGACAATAAGTTCATTAAAGATGCCACTAAATCTGCATTTAAGATCAACGTAAACGAAATTCAAAAATTAGATTTGGTAAATAAATATTTTGAAGAGGAAAAGGAATGCAATCATAAACTTGAAGCTTTTTGTGAAAGAAATCTCATATCAGGTGGAAGTTTTTCGGCAAAATCACTTTGGCTTTCCATATCTCTTGGATTATCACAAGAATATTCTAAACAAATGCTTAGTAATCGTGAAGAATTTACTAAATATTCTCATCAAAAATGGAAAAAGGCAATAGTTATCCTTCAAAAATCATGCATTTCACTAACTGAAAAGTTTATTAATGCTGTTAAAGACGCATTGGCTATGAGCACTGAACCAAAAAGCTCGAAAGCCTTCAAGAAATATCAAAAAAAATATGGCCAATTCTATGCGCGCAGCTTTGCGTTCGGAGGCGCAATAGTTAAGGAAAAAACATATACCAGTAACTCAAGTAGGTATCATGATGAACAATCTCATGTTAAGCATTAATATTAACTATTACGGTATTATAGATGAAAGCTCAAAAACTAAAAAAACGGATTTAAACAGCAAGAGTAATCTTTCTGCATAAGATGTCGCCGAAGTAGTGATCCAAATCGGACCAAAAAAATGCAATCGATTAATCAACCAAAATTTTTTTTAAAAATCGATTAAAAATCGATTATAGTCAACTATCGATTA